TGGCCAAGAAGACCAATGGCATCCTGGGGTGTATTAGAAGAGGTCTGCCTAGTAGGCTGAGAGAGGCCCTCCTCTCCCTCTACTGTGCCCTGGTGAGGCCACATCTGGAATATTGTGTCCAGTTCTGGGCCCCTCAGTTCAAGAGAGACAGGGAACTGCTTGAGAGAGTCCAGCACAGAGCCACAAAGATGATGAAGGGAGTGGAACATCTCCCTTATAAGGAAAGGCTGAAGGAGCTGGGTCTCTTTAGCTTGGTGGAGACTAAGGGTGACCTTGTAAATATTTATAAATATGTCAAGAAGAAGTGTCAGGAGGATGGAGCCAGGCTCTTCTCAGTGATGTCTAATGACAGGACAAGAGGCAACGGCTGCAAGCTGGAACATAGGATGTTCCACAAAAACATTAGGAAAAAATTTTTCGCTGTGAGGGTGACAGAGCACTGGAACAGGCTGCCCAGAGAGGTTGTGGAGACTACTCTGGAGACTTTCAAAACCTACCTGGACATGTTCCTGTGTGATCTACTCTAGGTGATCCTCCTCTGGGAGTGGGGTTGGTCTCAATGATCTTTCAAGGTCCCATCCAACCCCTAACATTCTGTGATTTCTGTAAGGCTAGCTGTCCTGGAGTTTTGCAGTTGCCTTGGACTGAGAAGAAATGCTTTTTTTGCTACAACAATACTGGAAGCTGTGGGCTTACCATACTGGTACTGGTCTGAAGGTGAAAGTCTCCCTCCTGTGCGCTTCACTGGAAGGCACAGGAGATGAGTGAGATTGACTGGGCAGCTCCATGCCACGTTCAGTATGATCTAACAGCAGGATAGGAAAGAGGCAGTCCTATTTTCCTCTTCACTACAAATTCTTGCCCTTTCCTTTCTACTGACCTTACGTCCAAGGCAGAGGGAGTGAGCTGAGCTAGCAAACTAATCTGAGAGAACCAAGCTGGAAAGAGTCCAAGGTAAAGCAACTTAACAACTTCAAGAAAAACATGGAGTATGGAAAAGCCTTAGGATATGAGAGATGGACATTTTTATTAGAAAGAGGGAAGAAACTGATTGCCATCCATTGTCACTGTGGGAAACACAAGAAGAAAGCTGCATTATTCACTCCAAAGGAAATTTGAACTGGGATTTAGGAAAAACTTCTTCTTTTAAAACTCCAGCAATAATGAAATGCTGGAAAAGGATACCCAAAGAGCTATTTCCATCAATTAAACATTAGATATATCTGCAGAGAATCTACTTCAGTGCAAATTTTGGATTAGATGATATCTTAATGTCTCCTCTGCACTACGTTTTAAAGGCTTCCGTTTGATATGTATTTGCTATCTTAAATACAAAAATATTTCTAGTATTGTAAAAGTTTCCTTAAAACAGAAAATTCTGCAAAAGGAACTGAATACCGAAAGGTTTCTTCTATCAGCATGAGTTACTATTGCCTCAGGAGCCACTTACCTTGGATTTTTCCAGCAGCTATTGAGACTTTCTAAAAATCATGATGCAATTACCTCTACTACAGAAACAAGACCTCTCTATTCTCATTTCCCTTAAGGCCATGATCACTGAAAAAAACAGTGTGGATATTGACTCTGCACACCAACCTCAGCAAGAATATGCCCCATGTTATGTCTCTGGTTCACAAAATGTTTTTACTACTTAGAAAAAAAATCAGAGAAGAAATGGGGAAGCTACAGATAGACTATGGTAACAACCTTCAACTACAAAAATCAAAATATACATTTCAGATTAATTGATTTGGACACAATATGCACTTTTGCAGGGAAAGCTAGGGTAAGTGGTACCTCATCTAAACACTGAAATGCAGGACTTGCTGTTACATCAGTGGATCCCTCATCTCGGCTATAAACTGTTGGAGCTAGAGCACAGATAGGTTGTTGCTCCTTCTTGATTTCCAACTCTGTGTCACTGGAACTGGAACTTTCTTCACCAGCCTGACTCATTGTTCGAAGTTCTAGGAAGTAATAAAAATACCAAAATAGTTACCGAGATCCAGGGATATATATGACTGTACAAGATCAATGTGCAGTGTAAAGAACACAGCGTCAACACGACAACCATGTTCAAACAATAGAAGTCACAACGTGAGCAAACTAGGTGAGTCTACAATTACAGCTTCGTAGAAATTAAAACTGTAACTGAGAAGAAATTTTGCAACTACTTCAACAGTATATACCAGATTTCTCCAATGAAACAACCAGAGTTATTTTGCATTTCAAAGTCAGAATGCTAGGAGTTAAGAAAAATACTTTTTTTTTTAATAATTGCAGTGGGAAAATAAACGTAAAAATGTTGTGTTGTGTGTATCCACCTTTTGAAAAGTCATTTGTCTATAAAGGTAGTGAAATTTAAACTGGCAAATTTATGACTTTCTTCAGTGCTGTTTAGAATTCCTTCAGGAATATTTTGGCTTTTAGAGAGATTTCAGCGGCTGTATTTGCTTATGTAAGAAAAAGCAATTTCATGATCCCTCTTGGAGGAGTCAAAACATTGTGAAACAACTGTAAACATCATAGAAGCCAAGAAATAAACTCTGAAATACTGTACATAAACATGCATACACTTTTATAAATAAAGAGTAATTTTTCATTTATAAAGAACTGCTGAATATTTTAGCTTATGCATTTCATGTTTATGGCTGCTGCTGCTTTATTTTTTCCTCCAAACATACGGGGAGAATTTAGACAAGGAAAAAAGAATAGCAGCAGGAACTCTAGGCAGAACAATGCCAAAACCTGAGAGCTTCAGGGATGTATGCATTTTTGTCAATACTCGTATGTGACAGTTGACACTAGTCAAAAATACACTTCCTTGCAGTATGGTAGTACAAAAGAGTCCTCGCCAAGACTCTAATTTGCTGGGCATGGAGAGAATAAAACCAATTTTCTGAATCTGGAAAGTTTATAACATTCTGTTAAGATACAGCTATATACAGCTGAGAGAGAGAAAAACAACAGCCAGCCTTGGAAAGCGTGTGCTAGTCTCCACCACTTTTTAAGAGGGGCAGTGACAGACTGTAACAAAATATATATACTGTTATGGAACATTGAAATAAGTTTAGCATTTTTCAATTACCTACTACATAATTAAATTTCAAATTCATCTTATATAAAATTATACATATAAATTTTAAAAAAAACAAAGTGGAAAGTTTGTATTTTTGCAGTATCTGATAAATAAACAGTCTAATTCAAATAGAAATGAAAGCTGTTGTGATTTCTATATCTACAGAATAGTTCAACAAATATGGATGTTTTCAAACTGTAGAACTGCAAATAATATCACAGCCTTAACCCAGGATGCAGAATGACACAGAACAGGAATTACAAATCTGTTTTGGAACCCGGGTTAAATCAGGTTGAGAATCGTCTTGTGAAACAGCTTCAAGATAGCAACAAAAGTCTGAACACAGATTCCCAAAAGTAGTTCCAGCATCTTTAGTTCAGTATCTCTCTAGCAAAGAGCAATGTTCATACACAAGTCAGGGCAGAATCCATATAGGTGACACTGAGCTGCACTGACTCTTTCCAGAGTGACAGATACAAAAATTAGTAGAATTCCATTCTGAACATGAAGAGATACAACTCTATGTATGAAGATGCATCAACTAGAATAATTAAGAAGACACAAAATTTATACAAATCTCTGCTGAAGGAACTACACTTAAAATGATTGACTTCATTAACGTATACTGATGGACACCTTCAAACTTTATCTTAATTCCTTGCATTTATAAAATTTGAACCACAGGTTGAAAAAGACCCTTAAGATCATTGAGTTTAACTGTTAACCTAACCATGCCAGGTACTCCACTAAACTAATTCCCTAAGCACCACATCTACATGCTGGGTTTGAAGGGTAAGGCTCTGACTGGTATCAAAATCTTACTGATGCTTTTCTTAGCCAATAATTAGAAAAAGATTCAGGTTCAAAAAAATGTCAGTAAGATTTCGATACCAGTTACAGTTTTACCCTTCAAGCCCAACTTGAACATGCTTTCTAAAATTTTAAGCACAAAGGGGGAAAAGATCATCAAGCACATTATTTTCTCTGCCATCATTATATAATTAAAAGTATGAATTCATTGTTATTTATACTGCTATCACTGAAGGCAAAATCTATTATATGTTGAACAGTATGTGTTAAAATGTCTTTTCAATTATTTTATTAAAACTTTTGATTGCAAGTACATTCAAATTAATTTATAATTTCAGTCTGATAACATCGGGCCAGACTGTGCAGTCTGTGAGGTCAGTTAAAACACTGAGCAGTTATTTGTGTAAGCAGTAAGTAGTCTAACTAACTCCAATGGAAATATTTATGAAAGTATCTAATTACTCGCATTACACACAGGTTCACAACTGGTTTTATAGACTGCACATTTTAGATGGGGCTCTGAGAAACCTGATTTAGTTAAAGATGTCCCTGCTCCTTGCAGGGGGTTGGACTAGATGCCCTTTAAGGGTCCCTTCCAACCCAACACACTCTATGATTCTATTAGAACTGCATCATGTGCAATAAGGCATTATAATACACATGTAATTCAGCATGGTTTGATTAGACTGTACATCCTCATAGACACCCACTTTGGGGAAATGAGAGCACAAGGCACACCTCAACTGCTTCTGTTCTAAGTTCCATTGTTTACACTTGTTTTCAAGTCTCTGCTATTTAGGATGGAATCACCCCAAGCCACTCACAGACTTTACCAGCTGGAGTTCTAATTAGATATGGCTAAGATAGGGAGAATTTGAATGGTAAGATCTGCTACTTGCCTTTTCATGTGATTTCCATAAGGAACTTAGTTTCCTCACAAATCTTCTGGTAATATGGCAAACAATCCCTGAAATCGAAACCATTGTGTGCTCTGGAAACTGCCTCTCTCTGCCCGCCTTAAGAAGAAATGGTTACCATCACTACACATACACTAAAACACCAAGGGAAAAAACAAACAAAACATGCTTTGCTTACCCACAGAAACCTAGACTTGCCTTGAGAACTAAGAAGGCTCAAGGAAGCAGTTCAGAAATATATTTTGTAATTTGTATTTTTCTCAGATGTAAAAAAGGAACTAAAATAATGTTATACACATATTTCATAATAGAAACACATGAGAATTTTTAGTAAACTTGGAAAAAATATCCTGACTACTAAGTTCTTAAGCATTATGACACGGAGTAACATTGATACATATGAGCCCTGCGTGCAGTGAACCTTGCCCAAACACTGGATGTGAATTTGAAATGTTCTTGCATCTGCAGGTAGGAGCCTCATCATGAGGGTAACACCAGCAAGAACACTCCTGCAGGGCAGTCCCGTTCTCCTGAGCTGTGAAATCACATTATTTCTTCACTACAATTACAGCAAATGGGTGAACTTAATCCTGCCCAGGCAGACTAAGCTTACACCCTGTGAGTACCTGAAGCTGCCTGATCTTATTCTGTGGTTAATTCCAATTAAAAAGTTAGAAAAGTGTATTCCTTCTACAGCTTCTCCTATATGTCCTTGTAATTTAATTCCTCTTCCCTTGAAATCTCTCTCTCACCTTAGACTAAAAGTGTCCCTAATAATGCTTTGGCTTTAAAATCTATTTTACATCACTTTATAAAGTCTAGGATTTTTTATCTTTTGTGTAAAATAAAGAATATTCTTTGGCTTACAACAAGATTCTAAACAAATATCTAGCAAAATGGCCAATAAGCATTGTAATTCATTGAGAAATCAGGCAGGCATCTTGAAATTGCAGGTCTAATTAAATCTTCATTTATAAAATTGGTGAAGTTTTATTTTCCTGCAAGTGACAAGTCATAAAATTAAAGATGAAAATAAATGTGACTTTACTGTTGCATTCTGCTACAAAGCATACCAGCTGACATGGCCTTACTTGGAATTCAGTCGAGAGCATGAAAATTAAATTGAGTCAATAATATAGCCAAAAATGCAGATGGCATAGGTAAAACATTAAAAACATGAGATTTCATATGTACGGAGAAATTAGAACTTCTTCCTGGCAATTGCTTTTTATCTATTTTCTTCAGTATTTCTAACCATGTAACTATGCTTAAACTGTATCTAATCAGGAACCCAACACAAAACAATTAAATACATAAACAGAGCTAAGGCTTAGGCATCTTTGATTGGTTTCTTGAACAAAGTTCTCAATTACACAAAGCTTGACAATATTAAAAACGATGCATAGAGCCCAATCTAATAAACCTCTGCCTGCATAAGGAACGTCAAATACCAAGATACTGGAGGAAAAGGGGACAGTAGGAAAGAAGCACTAACGTTTCAGAGGAGGTGGGAGGCAATGATAAGGACCAGCAGCACTGACTTCAGGGAGAAAGGGGCGTCAGCTGTAAATCCCACCCAACCAAAGAGGGGGATTCCCTTTGAAGAGTCGGTTAGTAGAGTAAATTGTTGAAGTGGCTGTCATCTAGTGGAATGACAGCACATTACACCACACTTCTTACAGGTACTGTAACCGTTTCCCCGACAAATTATTTAACATCTAAATTTTGCATTTGGTCTCAAAGTGAGAATTTTGTAGTCTTTTTTTCCCCCAAACAACTATTTCTGAAGACTCGAAAAAAGTAATTGCTATCTCCCAGCATATTGCAAGGTATTTCTTAATACATTTTTGTCTTTCTAGAATTATAGTTTTCTGTGCTAAACTATGACATGTCAGGCTGGCCCTTTCTGTGTTTTATATCATGATTTTTAGGGCTGAATAATGTAAACCAATGGAATAATTTAACCCGAAGGGCTTATTTGGTGAATATGGATCTTTATTAAACTTTCCACGGTAAAAATCACAGATGGATCAAAAAGCTTCTTTCCTCCTGAACTCTCAGATCCCACTTCATATCCATAAATAATCAATGCCAGGCAGTGATAAAAATGGAAATGAGGCTAATGAGATGAAAAGAGCTTGATGACCAAA